CTGGAAAAATAAAAACTCTGGAATATTTCCAGTGCTAGGCATTTCTGATAAGCAACAGTCAACCTATACATGGATACTTCCCCAAATGCTATTTATACTTGGTGGCATGGACCTAGTATATTTTAGTAAGAGCATATATTTGATAAGATAGCTAACTTCCAAATAGCACAATATTATATACCAGATAAAAAGAAGCATACAATGATAGATATAGAAAATATAGTAAAGATTTATGATAAAGTAAAAAAAAAATGTTTTGTAGAATGCCAGGATTTTAATAAAAAGGGAAATTCAACCTAGAAAAATTTTAGAATGATATGTAAAAATGTTTGTTAGGAGCGCATGTAAAGACAGGCAAAATGGAGGCAGTTAAAAAGAGTTAAAATGCTAATCTGGAATCAGAGGAATGGCTAGAAAGATCTATGATGGTTTGAGATACTTCTGAGATTCTCTGTCATTGGCTTCATACTTTACCAGGGAAGGAGCAGGAAGGTACAGTTATCCTTTGGTCAACTTTAGGACCACTTTGAACACCACAATCCACAGATGCTGGAATCCATTCCATAAAAGCTGTAGTGTTTACATAGCTCCTTGAACAATCTCCAGCTGCCTTTCAAGGTGACAGAAATAGTTATTGTGCTGCATGACTTAGGAATAGTGACAAGAAAGAAAGTCTGTATGTGTTCAGTATGGATTCTGTTACAAACAAATGTCCAGGCCACAGTGGACTGGATTCATCTGTGAGGACCCACAGCACAGAGGGCAAATTCAAATGGGCATCAGTGGAATATGCCAGGCCCCCTATCCTCTGTTGGCCATTCTGATGAGACTGGGTTTCTGAAGCTTGGGTAAGTCATGGCAGCCTGACCTGCTAGAAGGCTTCGCAGTTTCCTTCTTTGTGGCCTCAACACAGACAAGAGTGTCTTCAAATTCTTGCTTGCCCTTTTCCAACTATGTGCCCCCTGGTTCTTTAGGCCTGTAGGTCAATGTGACTAAAGGTCATGGGTGACAGAAAGAGAAGCAAGGAGCAAAGGGGCCACTATGAGAGCTAGATAGGCTTCTCCTAGGCACAAAAGATATAAAAGGAGTCTAAAGGAATAGAGTGATCATTAATGAGCTAGTCAGGAAGTATGCTGGTAACAGCACAGGTTTAGAGTCACTCCTTAGAAACCAAAAAGGAATGGGCTTACAAAAACATTTACAGAAAAGAAAAATCAGGGGCTAGAAAACTCACTGCTCTTTCAGAGAACCTGGGTTCAATTCCCAGCACCCACATGGCAGCTCACAACTGTCTGTAACTCCAAGATCTGATACCCACAGACATACACGCAGGCAAAACACCAATGCACATAAAATAAAAATAAATTATTATTTTTTTTTTAAAAAAGGAAAATCAGAAATGAGTTTCTGATTTAGGGGAAAGACCACACTTTGGGTTTTCTGGTTTATTGACACAAGCTGTGTCACACGGAGTATGCTCCTAAATATATCTAGCCATATTACTATAAACAACCATCTGAAGTTTGCTGGGCTTAGCCCTATGTCAAAACTTTCAAATGTGTCATCTATAGAAGGCTCCCAAAAGGGCAACCCTTAGGCTCTGGAGTTACAAGAATCTTGTTTTGTAAACGCTCATCTTTTATAGATAGAGCAAGGTTATCAAAGCCCACATTTATGAAATGGTATTGGTTTCAAAGGCCTACTGTGAAGACTAGAATTTTGTTATTTTCTTTCTCTTTTGTTGCAGCCCTGGGGATCTGAACTCAGGACCTTGTATACACTAGCTAAGTGTTATCTACTTCTGTGAGGACTAAGCAAGTGCTACAAAAGCATTAACACACTGCTTAATACACTGCAAATTCTCTCCAATCCCATTTTGCAGATGGGAAAACAATCACGAAGATCATCATCAACAACAACAATTTTTTAAAAATAATAAGATTTCCAGGTAACCCAGGCTGGCTTTGATTTTACTATGCTGCTGAGGATGACCTTGAACTCCTGATCCTCTTGACTCACCTCTCAGATACTGGGATTACATTTAGGTACTGATAGGCTGGTTTTTTTTTGTTGTTGTTGTTTTGTTTTGTTTTGCTATGTATCCCAGGTTAGCCTCAAACTCCCATTCTCTTGCCTCAGCCTTCCAAGTGCTAGTATTACAGACATGAGCCACCACATTTGGCAAAATAATGTGCTTGGGACCTTCTGATTCTGATTATTTGAAATGGGACATAGTTTTCTTTTTTAATTAATTAATTTATTTTATTAATTACAGTTTATTCACTTTGTATCCCAGCTGTAGCCCCCTCCCTCGTCGCATCCCAATCCCACCCTCCCATTTCCTCCCATGCCCTACCCCAAGTCCACTGATAGGGAAGGTCCTCCTGCCCTTCCCTCTGACCCTAGCCTATCAGGTCTCATCAGAATTGGCTGCATTGTCTTCCTCTGTGGCCTGGTAAGGCTGCTCCTTCCTCAGGGGGAGGTGATCAAAGAGCCAGCCACTGTGTTCATGTCAAGAGACAGTCCCTATTCCCATTACTAGGGAACCCACTTGGACACTGAGCTGCCATGGGCTACATCTGTGCAGGGGTTCTAGGTTATCTCCATGCATGGCCCTTGTTTGGAGTATCAGTCTCAGAAAAGACCCCTATGCCTAGATTTTTTAGTTCTGTTGCTCTCTTTGTGGAGCTCCTGTTCCCTCCAGGTCTTTCTATCTCCCCCTTCTTTCATAAGATTCCCTGCACTCTGCCCTAAGTTTGGCTATGAGTCTCAGCATCTGCTTTGATACCCTGCTGGGTAGTCTTTCAGAGGCCCTCTGTGGTAGGCTCCTGTCCTGGGGACACTGTTTTCTAAAAGCATAATCTTTATCCTATGATTCATCAGGTATACTACTTGTTCTGATTAGATGCACAGAAGAAAAGGAGATAACTTCCACCAGAAAATAAAACCTCCAAATAAGAAAGGATAGGGAAAAAAATGAACCTCATTGCCTTCTAAGTGTCCCCTAGTCCTTGCAGGGGAAAACCAGAAAAGTCCCCAGAGCCCAAGCCAGCCAGGCTGCATCAAAAGACTTAGTGACTGGCCAAGGATGGCCTCATGAAAAACGCTACCATACATGGGCATGTCTGCCTCCAGCCCAGCCTCCCACAAAAAAAGTAATAATAAATCCATAGTGATTACCTTGTACGGAAGAAAGGCTCTATTTCAGATATGTTAATAAAAGTTGATGGGGTTTATGAGGCAAACCCACAGGTCTCTCCAGGGTGGTTCAACACAGGCATGTTTTGGGATCTTGGGATAGCAGCACCCCAGGTCATAGACTCCCACCACATCCTCATCCCACTGGGGAATAGTCTTTTAAATTTGTAAAAGTCCAGTTTAAGTCATCTTCAAAGAGTGGTGGAAGCTGGAAGCACTGGGTTGACCAGAAACATGAGTCCAACAAATTTTGGTTTTCAGTAAAGCGAAAAGATGTCAAGGTATGAACTCCATACTACACAAACTGGGAAATGGGATTATTGACTAGTTGTGTGACCCTGAAGAAATTACTTAACCTCACTGAGCTTCAGCTGTTTTATACACTAAACAAGTTCACAGTGCCTTTGTGATGAGGGGGATCTAATGATTAAAATAATTCAATTCATTTAAATGCTGCTAAAGTACCTGGCTTGTAAGTGTGCCATCAACCTCAGCATAGAAGAGAAGGTATTCCCTGCCACGTGAGACTTTCTGACCTGCATGGTCACTTGTATGATCTCTTTTTTAAAGCCAAGTCTAAAATAGCATCTTGAAGTAAATGGAACAAAAGAAAACAGAGCCAGAGGAAACAGAAGGAAGCAGAGCAGTTTACTAAACACAGCCGGACTTCCTTTCTTTCCCAGCAAGCTCAACGACTACTCTCAGTTCTTTTTTTTTTTTCTCCCCTTTTCAAAGATTAATTAATTAATTTAGTTATTCACTTTACATACTGTTCGTAGGCCTTCCCTCCTCTCTCTGGATCTCATCTTCCGTCCCACTTTTCCCCTATCCCCCCTCTCTACTCTCAGTTCTCAGTGGTAGAACCAAAGCAGCCTAGTCCTGGGTTTCTAAAAACTTTCTTTTCCTCTCTGACAGGCATTGCTTTGAAGGGTGATTTTCGGACATGACAAGACCCCTCCAATTCTGAACCGGAACAGCAGAACTTTCTCCTGCTAGTTCCTCTGACCTGACCAAGAGCAATCTTCCTACTGAGGAGCCCAGAAACCCCAGAGCCTGCTTACTTGGTGCATACGCAGGATGCAAATGGAGCCTCCGCACCTACCCGAGCCTCCCAGGGCCCTAACTGCAACCTGGACGTTAACTCCTTTGTTAATTCGCAGGGTCTGGGGTCGGGAAGGAAACAGCTGAACCGCACCCCCCCCCAAAAAAAAAAAAAACCAACAAAAACCCGGAACCTTATCTTTGCCCAGCAGCTTTGCCCAGCAGGGACTATCACAGCACAATACCTAAGCAGATGAAAAACAGTAGCATACAGCCTGTGTGGTCAGGGCCATGAACACTCTCACCTTTGATTTTGTGTTACTTTGTGCTATGATCAGCGGCTTATCCATCCAATGACCTTCTAATCAGAAAACCTGGGGGTCTGCTCCCCGCCCGCAATATTGGGATTTGAACCCAGGACCCATAATGCTCAGCACACCGCAATCTCTAACCAGTGGTTGCTTTTTTTAAGTAGATCATTTTGTTTGTTTGATTTTTAGACTCCAGCATATCTGGAATTGGGCCTAGCCACTAGAACCTTTAATTACCTCCCCTACCTCCCCAGGTAGTATCCCTCATAGGCAACCTGGGATGCTCTTTTGCAGGGGTGGTGGTGGGGGTCAATGGAGGTCTAGGATGCTCCAGCACCAGACTTCTTTCCACTCTCCTTATAAGAGATGACAATCAGAACCCCTCAGGGTCCCCACTCCCAGGAGGATACTCTAAACGCCGCTCAAGCCTACTACTCCAGCTCTACTTACAGATCTGCTACTGGGGGCTAGCGCGAGGAAAAAGGGCGGAGAGCTCAGATCAGGCACTGGTCCCAGGCTGGGGCGGTCCGAATCTCTCTGTACAACTCCGACGCCTAGCTTTATAGAGCAGGAGCTTCCCGAGGGTGGGAACGGGACGCAGCCGCCGCGCGGGGTGGGAGGGTCCTCTGTCCTTTGCGGCGCCCCCTGCAGGTGAACACCAGAGCCGCCGGGAACCACCTGACAGGGGTGCAGGGGCCGGCAGCCTCAGCACTCGCTCCCTGCAGCCACCCAGATCCTGGATCCCTAAAGAAAAAGAGACCCAGTACGCAGTCTGTAGGAAAACTTGAGAATTTCTTTCCCTAGGTCCATTCCAGCTGGATTTTAACCTCTTCCTGTTCATACCTGATACCTCACCCTCATTTCCCTGCTTCATTCGCCTGCCACTAGATCCGAGGGTAACTGTGCAAAGGGCAAAGAGCAAAGGGCACAGAAAAGGGATTTTTTGAACTCCGCAAAGTGCAAAGCAGGTCACCGCACAGTCTCCTGTGACTGCTGGGAATGTATGGGAAGGGGAAACTTTTGCTTTCCTTAACTTGTCCTCTGCAGCTCCATTCAAGCTATAATCAAAATTAAGTATAATCCCGGGGTGCCCAGGACTGAAATGTGGCTTCGTGTCAGCAGCTGAAAAGCGGGGTGCTGCTAGGGAAAGGGTGCATTATGGCATTTGGAGGGTGTGTGTTAAGACCCTAGGAGAATGTGGGGGACTTCTGGCTTCCGCAAGTTCACAGCTGTCCCCCCTCACCAAAGGATCCTTGTCCACTCAGCGTTCACAGTTTCTGTCCTTTAGCCCTGTGTGGATATAGGTCCCTGTCTCTTTTGTCTGACATGACACTGCTTTGATTTCCCTATGACGATTTTTTTCTTTTCTCTTATCATTCCATTTTGTATGCCCCTAATCTCCCTGTCTCTCTCCCACACACACACCTCCTCCTGCCACATGCACACACACTCAGGCCATAAAAGGAAGTCGAGGCAGGGCTGGCCCCAGTCCAGGCCGGGGACGCCTCGCTCCCTGCGCCTGGACCCTCGAGGCCCGGGGCTGGTCCTCCCTCCTGGGCCTGGCCGGGAGACAACCCAAAAAGGCCAGGCGCGATTCTTGAAGCAGGAATTCCCAGCGCGGCATACCAGCAGGGCTCGGGCTCCCCCTGACTAAATATGGTCCCGCGAAGCCTCCCGCTGAGCCCACAGGGAACTGGGGGGGATCCCAGAGCTCAGACTGGATCTCCAGGCCCACAAGCAGCGAGTGCTTCGAACTGGAGGATGGCCCTGGCCAAACCTGTCCCAGCCCCACAGTGCTCAGTGGCCCCATTTTGCAGACAAGAATACAGAGTCCCCTGAGGGTCCTCAGCACACTCAGGACCGTTCTTATACCAACGTTCACTCTGGGGAGCAATTGGGGAACTGGCCACAAGGCCAAGGGAGTCCTCTGAGCACAGTTGTGTTTGAATGGACGTCTGCTGAGCCTCTTTATAGCAGCAAGTAATAGTATCTGCTCTGCCTTAGTTTCTGTTTGTTAAAGTGGGAGAATGCCAGCTCCTATGTTTTGTAAGCAGTCCTTGAAGCGGTGTGAAATTAACACACTGTACCTTTGTGGGTCCCAGGAAACTCACGAAACTTGCATCAAGCTGGCTGTGGAATATATAAGGCCACACAGCCTCCTATTGGCTTTGCACACAGTAATCTTGTGTCTCAGCCCCTCTAGACCCCTTCCCACATCCTTCCAATACCAAATTCACCTGCTTTCCGGGCTTGAAAACATCTGGATCCCGATCCTCCCCAACCCCATTCTCATCCCTTCCCCGCGGGGCCGCATAGAGCAGAGCCAAGGACAGCAGCTTGGCTGGCTCACTGTGGAGGTTGGGGGAGGAGCTCTGCACGACGGACCAGGCTGTTTCTCCAAAGCCTCTTCACAGCTGCACGTAAAAGGAATGGAAACCATCCGGGCACTGAGCCCAGGAGGAATGGAAGGGGGAAACCCAGGACCCACTCTGGAACCAGCTCAGAGCTGGCCATCCCAATAGGAAGAAAGGCACTCCTGCAGTGGGCCTCAATAAAGTCAATCCAAGGGCAGAGCTGATTTTTAAAGAAGTGTGTCAATTTTGAAATGAAAATAATTTCATTATAAGGAGAGACTGGGCCAATAAGATGGTTCTACAGGTAAAGCACTTGTTGTCCAAGCCTGACCACCTGAGTTCCATCCTTAAGACCCACATGGTGGAAGGGGAAAATAGATTGACTGGGACACATTATTCTCTGACTTACATATGTGGTAAGTGGTACATCCTCCCCCCATAAATTAATAAATGTATTTTTTTTTAAATGGAAACTGTGTTGTGCATGTGGTATCTCAGGAGCCATCCATCACTAGGGGTGTCACCACATACACCTGGTATGTAAACCAGAGAGGCAGTAGCCTCAGAGATCAGCCTGCTTTACAAGTGCTGGGTTTCAATGTGTGCATAGATGACATTGCTTTTATTGTTTTTCCTTTGATTTTGAGATGGTTTCTTACATGGGCCTCAGGCTTGGCTGCTTAGAAGCTTGCTGGTCAGTGTACCCCTGGCACCCCCTTGTCTCTACATGAATGCTAGAGATGGAATTTTGATCCTCATTTTTGTGTCACCTCCTCAGCCAAGAAAGTGGAAATTTTACTGCCTCCTTTACATCTAATGCCCAGAATGATGCCATGAGGTAGGTTCCCCAGCATCTGCTGCTGAGGATCAAGGTTTGAAAAGAGTAAATCATCTGGCCAATGGAGCAAGGTTAATGGAGGAGCCGGCATTCCAACCTGGGCTGGATGAGTCCATTCACAGCATGGGTGGGGTGGTGTCTATGTATGTGTGTATACATGTGTGTGGAGGCTGTGAAGTCACATTAGGTGTGTTCATCGGTTGCTTCTCCGCTTTATTTTTTGAGCATCTCTCACTTAGCCTGGAACTTGTTGATTCCGCTAGGCTGCTAGGCTGGGGAATCAGCAAGCCCAGGGAACCTTCTCTACCTCTCTAGTGTTGGGATTACTAGTGTGCACTGTCATACCCAGCTTTTTGATATGGGTGTAGAGATCAGGTCCTCATGCTTGAATAGCAAGTACTTGATTGACTGAGCCATCTCCCCAGCTCCATTTATGTTTTTCCTCCACTAGTGAGGCTTAAACCCTGGGTCTTGCCCACACTAGGCAAGCACTCTATCACTGGGACCCAAAAGTCTGCTCTCAGCTCTGCTAAGCACTAGCCAAGAATTTATGGGGTTATCCATATCCTTATGTGCCTTTGTCTTAGGAACAGCAAATACCAGGCTTTCTGCCTTCTCTACCTTTCTGAGTTGTTAATGACAGTTCTGGCTTTGTATAAACCACTGGTGCCCTCTTGGTATGCCCAATCAGTATCCAGAAATAGTATGTTCATTTAACAGTCACTTAATAAATATCTGTCCACTATGAGAAGTTCTGATATCTGAAGACTTCAGAAGGACCCTGTTCTATGGGTAACAGTAGAGGCTTCTGCTTTGCTTCTTGTGGTTGAAAAGGTCACTTATTTTAGGAAGAGGAGAAAAGCTACTTTACAAAACACTCCTTTGACTGGGTGATGTAAAATAAATTGTATGTTTTTCTGTAAGGGACAGTTTAATGAGAGTTTCCATGAACTCACAAGACGACGGAGGAAACATTTCTCTTTGGAGTCTTTTTTTTTTTTTTTTTTTTTTAATAGACAGGGTCTCACTGTGTAATCATGGCTGGTTTGAAACTCACTATGTCAACCATGCTTGCCTCTGCCTTATGGGTGCTGGGATTAGCAAACTTTTTTTTTTTTTTTTAAAGTAAATAGCTTTAAATAGCTTAGTGGTTTCTAAAGCCTCAGTATGTGATGCTCCCTTGCTTTAGGAAAATCAAAGATTGTATTCAAGCATGGCTGACTCCTGCGTGTGCTTAAGATTTAATTATTTAAAAATTTATCAGCTGGGCTGAGGAGATAAGTGGATAAGAGTGCTCACTGCATACGTATGAGGACCCTAGTTTAAGTCCCCAACTTTAAGTTCCCAACACCCAAGTAAAAAGTGGAGCAGCATGGCCACACATACCTGTAACACTTCTGCTGTGTGAGACAGAAGCAGGAGGCTCACTGGGGCTTGCTATCTACCAGCCTAGTTCCAGCAAGGTCAGTGAGAGACTGTCTCAAGGGAGTAAAAAGCACAGTAAAAGGACACCTTGCATTCTCCTCTGGCCTCAAATGCACACTCAGCACAGGTCGATGTGGCTCATCTTTTCTTACAAGCACAGCTCAGTGGTAACTGTTACAAGCACAAACACTGGTCAACCTTAAGATGACCCACTGAGCCCCTGGAGAGATGGCTCAGCGGTTAAGAGCATTGTCTGCTCTTCCAGAGATCCTGAGTTCAACTCCCAGCAACCACATGGACAACCACCTATTAATGGGATCTGATGCTCTCTCCTGTCATGCAGGCACACATGCAGATAAAGTGCTCATACATATAAATAAATCAATCTTAAAAGAAAAAAAGATGATCCACTGAGTCTCTAGGCAGATTGCTGTGCTGCTCCTTCACTCATGTCCAATTCTGGTATTCCTGTAACTACAGATGAAGTCTCTATTGAGAAGAGTTCAATTATCAGTAGTATTTGGGTTATTTTTTTTTAAGGTTGTGTTTCTGTTTCTCTCTTAACCCAGCTATCACACAAATAATTAAGAGTCTTTTAATAATAAGCTTTAGAACACAGTAAATGAGCAGTTATTACTCTATTCTTAACCTGCTAAGCTAATCTGGCTTCCTCCCAGCATACACCTCAGAGATACTTGCACTTTGAAGATTTCCTTGCTGCAGCTCCTCTCCTGTCTCTTGGACCTCTCCTGTGGCTGAATTCCCTTCCTCCTCCAACTCCTACTCCCCTGGCTGGCAGGAACTCCAGCCCTATCCTCTCCCTGCTCAGAGATTGCCCGTAAGATACTTCACTTATAGCAGAGGACTATTGGGGAGCAGAGTTTACACAACACTGAGACACGAGATTCTCAGAACAAGAACTGCAGCCAGATATGAGGGTTACAGAAATCACCATTTGAATTACACAACAACCTTATGCCTACATATCCCCCCTTTAGTCTAATAAAATGGCTCTTTCTCTTGGAATAACAAACTATATGTACTAATAATTATGAAAAAATTAGGTAAGATTTACACTTGTATATTGATAAAAATTTAAGGTTATTTTAACTATTGTATATTAATAAAAAATTAAGGTTATTTTAACTATTGATATATATTTAAGATTATTTTGTTTGACTATTGTTTAATGTATTGTACAAAAGCAGGTCATTTTAAAATGTGATAAAA